GGGGCAGAGGTCTATAGTCCCAAAATGTAGAACAAGGCTGTATAAAAATAGCTTCATTCCAGCAGTTCTCATTCAGATCAACAGTTTTTATTATCTTATTTATTCCACTGGTTATTTATCTTTGTGTTTTTTTTACTGATCTCTCTTTATAAGTCCTGGTTTTTAGAAACTGGAGCTTTATTATCATGTATCATGTTTGTCTGAGTTGTTTTTATATTTTTGTCAAGAGGAATGCCTCTTTGTCTTTTACTGCTAACCAGCTCTAGCTACAGGTACGAATAACCTCGAACCTTAAAGTCTCTGTTGTCTCCAGGTCTGATGCTGAGCATGTAGTTACTTTAATGTTAAAATACAGTTTTAAAGCTCAAATAAAGAAATAAGTGTGTTGTGTGAATTCCCTCTACTAACGAGGTGGTGACTTCCATCAATACGTATATCGGTGGTATCGATGCTGCAGGAATCGACCCGCCCTCCCCTCGTACAGTCGTTGTGTAAGGAGGCCGCTGTGGTTCGTTTAATGTTTGAAGTAATTACAGTGAAAAGATTCTGTATAAATATGAACGTTCTACTGGTTTTTATTTGCAGCCCACCGACTCTTCTGCCCTTCAGACGTCACGCTGGGGCGAAGTGGTAGATTGCTTTAAGGACACCTTCACACCGACTGTTTCATCTCACACTTATATTCCTCTCGCTCCCAGGTGGAGGTCCTGTGAGGTTTACCCTCCAGTGTGTCTGGTCAGAATTGATTGGATCGCGTACAGAGACACAAAGTGACCTCTGCTTGAAGCCGACTTCATGCACCGACTGACTGAGACTGATATTAAGGGACATTAAAGGGTGCAGACATTGTGTTTGAACTGAAAGATTTGATTGTGTTTCTGTTTGATTGAGAGACACACAGAGTTTATATTTTAATCATGTGTTAACTCTTAATCAAAAGACTTAATGTAAGATACATAACCAGTATGAGCAGATGGTTGTTGAAGATTTTAAATGCTTTGGTATCGACAGCAGTTCTACCTGAAAGGGAAACCCCGACCGCGTTTTATCTGAACACTGAGAGGAGGAAAATCTCAGGAAAGCCACAAAAGCAGCCGTGCGGGACGTACGATGAACTCTCTCTGTCGCTCTGTGAAGTTGCGATCGCAGCAGTTAATGCAAATTCAACCGATGAACGTGGACCAATCACTGTAGATTTTCCTTAACCGCACGTTTTCAAACTCCATTTAATTCTCATTGAAACAAGTTCCCATTTAGAAATGTTTGAACCTTCTGAGCGTTTTACAGTGCAATGTTTTTATTGAGCTCCCTGAATGTTCTTCTGAAACTTGCTGCTCTCATCTGGAGACGTTGACAACTTTTTTAACTTTTGGGATTAAACACTGGATTATCCGTCTGTGTGCGGCCCAGAGAAACTAAGAAGGAGATTGGAGGAGAAAATTGGAGGAAGTTGGAAAATATGTCTGTCACTGATTCCAGCTGTTGCCCCGATCAACCAATCTCCATTCAGAAAACAAGCATTTTAAAAGCTGTTTGCTGGCCGTCTCGCAGACAGACCGACAGAGTCTGAATCATTTTGATCCGTTTATTGACATTAAATCACAGAAATATCAGTTTACTTTAGGCTCAAACCAACTTGCTAGCATGTTAATTTACAAAAAATAAACAAAGAAAACGTGTTAAGTAGGCAATGTGACCGTGCGTGGATGCATGTGGATGTCTGTACACTGCAAAGACGTCTTCTTTAAACCACACTTAGGACTTATAGGTAATGTTAGCCGACGTTGTGGGAACTTTCTCCCACAATTTCACGGCAGAAAAATGCCTAAAAACAATGCAATTTTTGTAAAAGAAAAGCTGCTGTGAAATCAGGTTTTATTTTTAGCCAGAACAATCCTAAAAGCTCCCAGAGCGAAGCACAGACCCGGTGGAGCCGTCACGAGTCGAGATGTTTCTGATCTTTTTTAAAATTCATCAGCTGAAGTTGAAGAAAGTGAAACTGATGAACTCTCTGCTGCTTTAAAAGGTCCTATCAGCTCCAGCGGATTCCTTTACACCATGTTTCTATTCTATCCACTTCCCCCAGTGCATGTTGGGATTTGTTCTGTTTGCCTTGATTCATGAAGGAATTTCTGACTGACTGAATAAAGAAGTGTGTGTGTGTGTGTGTGTGTGTGTGTGTGTGTGTGTGTGTGTGTGTGTGTGAAGTCTCCCAGCTATGACAGGTCACACACTGTTGACAGTTACATTTACATCCCAATGAAAGAAACACAGCTCCAACTTTACTGACTTTATCCACAGCAAAGAGTCAGATGGAGGAGAACAGACTCCAGATCAGCTTCATCCAGTCTGTAATAGTTAAAGTAGAAATGTTTTTTTATCTGTTAAGGGCCTTTTTCTGTTATTATTATACTATTATTATTGACTGGGTGACATATTTTATGGATATTTCATATAATATTCAACAATAAGAGCAGAGAACAGCTGATAAACTGATCAATGAACCTGAACAGTGAACTCAGTAACTGCAGGAAGTTTGATTATTTCCTGCTAATATTGATCACAGATGAGTGTTCCTGATATTTTCATACAATTCTCTGTTTGCATTCTGTGTTGTTTTACTTTGCAGCAGTCAGATAGACCTCAGAGTTATTTATTCTCATTTTTTCTCTTCTATCAGCTCTGTGAATAAAGTTTGTGTTCAGGTCTTTTAGATAGATAGATAGATAGATAGATATTCCTTTATTTGTCCCACAATGGGGAAATTCCAATGTTACAGCAGCAAAGTGGATAGAGAAAAAACTGTACAAAAACAGAGTATGAAAATAATAAAAACACTATGTACAAGAGAAAAAACAGTAAGAATCCACAACAGATAACAGAAATAGTAGCAGCAGTTGCACACAGGCAATAGATTGCACAGTGAATATGGAATGGTAGTGCACAGTAATTAATGCACATTGTTATTGTTTTTAGTTTAGATCTTAAATAAAAATCAAATCTTATTTCTTCACAGAAATTAACGCTGAAATACAGGATAACTTTATTTAAACCATGTGGAGATTTT